TCAACCCCAGGGCTGCGCCACTTTAAGCGCGTCCGACTTTCGTCCACGTTGCGCATGTTGTACTGCTTTGCGCTGTCGCGCCACCTTAATCTCTTCATACAGCTCTGTTCCGCAAGCTAGCATGTCTGACAAGACCAGTCCTTTGAATGAGGCCAAGTCAAACCTTTGCCGCAGCTGCTCATCAAATCTAGTCAGATCGTTGTTTGTGAGCGCATCAGTTTCCTGGTTTTGAAGCCGCGGCAGCCAGTACAACTCGAGGTTCGCGCCAACCATTTGCAACTGCATAGCCAGCTCCATCAAAAACGCAGCAAGGGGGAATCTGGTTGTGAGCAACCTTGCAACCACATGGCTATTTCCTTTGTTGTCGGTCCCAGCCGAACAATGGATTCTGCCCCGCATTTGCACTGGCACCCTGAAGACGACAACCGCAGCTAACGAGGCTAGCAGCTCAAGCGAAGCAATCTGTCTGTAGCTTTCACCTGCAGTAAAAAGCCAAGGCGTAGATACGTGATCCAATTTTTCAGAAAACCATCTACAGCGTTTTGTGTCCGTGCTATCCATAGCCCAGCCGCCAATCCAAATCTCATTTCCTTCTGCGCGGGCATCTGTCCGAAACAGTTCCACCTGGTCTCCCGGGGCTGGTGGCACAGATGCCAGGCGCCCACCGTCTGCTAATGCCTTTGCCAGGAACTTAAAGATCAAGATGATCGCCTTGGGCAGGTTACCTGTGATAACCTTTCGCGTCATTGCTGCCGTCCATGCGTACACTGGCCCCAAAAACGGCCTCAAGTGTCCCAGCGCAGTCAAGCCAAAAGAAAGACGGCCCAATACTGCAGACATATCCGCTATACGCACTCGACCCAAATCTGCTGTGTCACTGAGCCACTTCACCAACCATTGCGATTGCGCCAACGACAAGCCGAGCTTACTTCCTTTCAAGCATAACTCGAAACCAACCCAGGCCAGGTCCACACCTCCTTGAAACTTCTTCCATGCAAACGGCAAGCCAACAATGGTCATGAAGTAAATGGTCAAGATAATCTTCTCAATTCCGACTTTATCGCGCGTGATCCAAAGCAAATCGTCAACGTAAACAAGAATGAATAGCTCGCTCTGCCCCAGCAGGTAGTACGCAGCTCTACCCACCCCAGACATGAGCCTACTCCAATGGTATGCCGCGCTCCCAATGCCGAATGTTCCGACAGTATTAATCCAAATATGATCTGGGCGCACGTCTGTCTTGCACGCCTGTAATCCTCAGTCTTCTTCAGCAACTCGCACCAACCGATGCGCTCGCGCCACATCACCTGTCAAGCCAAACCACGCACCTGGTAGTACTTGCAACACAGTTTGCAGATCACCGGCAGTTGGTGTGCGGAGCTGATCCCGGACCACAATGGCTGGATTCACTCCAACGCCATGTGTCCCGTCATGGATCACACGGACCGATCCATCCTTCTTCCCTATCGCTCCTAAGGACGCTAGGGCCAGCCGATCCCCAAATTTTTGCTTTGCTTCACTCAAAGGCATCTCAATCATGCAACCCATAGCAGCTTCAGTTTCAAATTGCTTCTGAACGAGGCGAGCATGATCACGGGCTGACAAATAGTTATCTCTCTCCATGTCTAGGCTGCTCTCTTCTTCTTTGTATTGTCTCCACTTACTGGAGAGGCACGGTTCCGTGGCTACGTTTTGGTGTAAGAAAACAACCCCAAAAAGAGGTTCCAGACATGCATGGAATATCCAAACAGGCGGAACCCCCCAAAATGTCATTGAATTTTCCTGCGGCACATGGTCACCGCACCTGGGGTGGCTTTGCCTGTCGGGCCATCTCTCGCAGCGACACGGTGCCACAATCAAAAACGGCAAAAGCAACAGCCAAACGCTGCAAGGCCAAAGGAAGCTGGAGGCGCTTGCCCAAAACTAAAAACTGAAATGCATGCATCAATCGCAACACGAAGCCGTGCGCCATTGCCAGAGCGGTCGCACGAGTCACTTGGCCCAATGAAGTTAGACAAATGTTTCCCAAAGATGTCACTGCGAAGCTCCAACTGGCAAAATTAGTTTCCACTGGGCTTGAAAGAAAGTGGACAGAATTGTCGGTCAACCGTCACCCCCACAGCACTGCCCGCGGGCGGCAATTCAATCCCACAGTAGCAGTCCTCCAAAACTGCAAACCATTGCTGCTTCTGCCGGAACCCGAAGACAATGCGGCAGGCGAAATTTCCTGCCAGGGCTGGGTCGCGCAAACCAAAGAAGCACGATGCCAACCACAGCAAGCACGGCACCGAAGCCAACCACGCCAACCAAGCACAAGCCAACCAAACCAGACAAGCCAACCAAGCCAGCCAAGCCAAGCCAGCCAAGCCAACCAAGCCACCCAAGCCAAGCCAGCCAACCAGCCAACCAAGCCAACCAAGCCAACCAATCCAACCAAGCCAACCGAGGCAACCAAGGCAACCAAGCCAACCAAGGCAACCAAGCCAGCCAAGCCAACGAATCCAACCAAGCCAACCCAGCCAACCAAGGAAACCGAGGCACTCAAAGCAGCCAAGCCAACGAAGCCAACCAAGCCAACCAAGCCAGCCAACCCACCCAAGCCACCCAAGCCACCCAAGCCAACCAAGGCAACCGAGCCAACCGAGCCAACCAAACCCATTCAGCGAACCAAGCCACCCAAGGCAACCAAGCCACCCAAGCCACCCAAGCCAAGCAAGGCAACCAAGCCAACCGAGCCAACCAAACCCATCCAGCGAACCAAGCCACCCAAGGCAACCAAGCCACCCAAGCCACCCAAGCCACCCAAGCCAACAAAGCCAACGCAGCCAAGCCAGCCAACCAAGCCAACCACGGCAAGCAAGCCAAGCAAGCCAAGCAAGCCAACAAGCCGAGCAAGGCAAGCAAGGCAACCAAGGCAACCAAGCCAACCAAGGCAAACAAGCCAAAGAAGCCAATCCAGCCAAAGAAGCCAACCAAGGCGACCAAGCCGACCAAGCCAAACAAGCCAACCAAGCCAACCAAGCCACCCAAGGCAACCAAGACACCCAAGCCACCCAAGCCAACCAAGCCAACCAAGCCAAACAAGCCAACCAAGCCAAGCCAACCAACCAAGCCAACCAAAGGAAGCAAGGCAAACAAGCCAATAAGCCGAGCAAGGCAAGCAAGGCAACCAAGCCAACCAAGCCAACCAAGCCAACCAAGCCAACCAAGCCAACCAAGCCAACCAAAGCAAACAAGCCATCCAGCCAAACAAGCCAACCAAGCAACCGAGCAACCAACCAACCAACCCACCAACCAACCAACCAACCAACCCACCCACCCACCCACGAACCAACCAACCAACCAACCAACCAACCAACCAACCAACCAACCAGCCCAACCAACCAACCAACCCCAGCAACCCCACCCAGCCAAGGCACACAAAGAGCACCTCCACGACGAAGAGCAAGTCCACGGAAGAGCAGGTCCACGGAGAAGAACGTGTCCACGGAGGAGAGCATGCCGACGTAGAAGACAAGCGAGGTGCGGTGGGGCCTTCACAGGGATGGGTGAAGGCGAAGTGTTTAAATAAATCTCCCTTTGTGAATTAAATGAAAGTGTTGCTTGGAGCAATTTTATAGTGATAAACCTGGAGATGTTAACCCTCTGTTTGAAAATGCATCTAGAGAATCAGAGACGCAAGGGTATTTCAAGTGGACAATTGCTGTCACTCAGGTTGTTTATGAGCATCATTTTCTACAGAATAGCTGACACCAAGTCACTTGCGTAAAACTGTTTGTAGTTTGGGGGGTTACTTGGCCTTCTATAAAATCAGCGTCCCCAAGTATCATTCATTGACAGCTGACCTGCATACTCCAGTTGCTCTCGCTCGAGGTTTTCAGTGTCAACCTGTTTTCAACATGAAATCTCTATCGAGAATCGCTGACGCCAAGCTCCTCTATAAAAAGTGCAAACGTTGTTGACACTGGGTAGGTACCCCTAAACAAAGGAGGGCCCTAAAACACACCATGTTCCCAGGCTTACCTGTTGCGCTTTTGAAGCGGAAATTGCAAGGAGGATAAGTAAATCAGGATGCATGATAGCAGCCATTTGGAGTCACATATCTGCCAAGGCATTCTCATCACGCCAAAGAGGCGCAGAAACTGGGATATATATGGAATTTGCGTCAAGCCACGGGTCGGCTTCACGCGACCAAATATTGGTGCAGACAATCATGGGAATAGCATACGCAAAGATTTGATAAGCATGTTGCTGTGTCGGTGACTGTCCAAGCATGACCGGCGTGGAGCCGGCTTGAAAGAGCTGCCGGTTATTGAGCACCAGCTCTGGCTCACACTCGTCGAAGACGAGGCACTTGTGCAAAGTTCTGTCAAATCGCGTCAAATTGGGTTGCTGCACGTTTTGGCAGCTAACAACAAGCGTGGCAGCTGGTCCAAAGATGGACACAGCAAAGGACGTCTTCCCATATTGCGAAGGTCCATGCAAAACCAGGAAAGGAAATCTGGAGCGAGAGCCAAACCCATCAGTGTAAAGTTGCGGCCACTCTGTCACTGCGGGCAAGCAACGTGCCGGCTTTTGCAACTGGGACAAACGCACTTCCAGGACCTCTCGCATGGCTGCCTCGCGCCTCTGTTTCAGTTGCTCCTGCACAAAGGAAATCTCGGCAATGTGGTTCCGGATGCCTCGAACACGGCCCCGCAACAACTCCTCAATAGCAACCTCGTCAGACAGCTTGTAGAAACGCCACAAAGACATAATGGAGGTGGCTTCCACGAGAAAGTCTTGAAACCGCACATAGGTACTCTCACAGAAGACCGACCCAAACTTTGGAGCTTGCACATAATAATGGGCTGCATCGAGCTGCCGCTGCAATGCTTTGCCCCGCCCTTTGGTGCCACGTACATGTGGCAAGGCCCCACGAAACTCCCAAAGCTGCAAAGCCCCAAGGCGCAGAGGTTTCTCGAAATTCGACAGCGCCACATGAAAATGTACCAAATTCTGTTGCTTTGTTCTTTTCAAACTCAATTCCATCTTGCAGGAAAGCTGTGGCCAATTCTGGTTGCTTTTCAAAGTCAGTTCCGTCACAAACTCACGCCACAAGGCTTCGTAAAAGGCGGACTGTCGCACTGCAGCAACCAATTCATTGTGGGTGCCTTGCATCATGGCCAAAGCATCCACCTCTGGAGTGCCAGCTCCCCAGGAGCCATTGTAAGTCAAGAGAAAGCCATGCAGCCGTTCATCCGTCATCTGAGAAGTTGCACGACCTGCTGCAGATGAAGCGGTGCCCCCGCCACGCCTGCTAGCGCCACCAGATCTGTCACCAAACGTGCTCTCTGCTGGGAACGGCGGTGCTGGATGGCTGCTATCTGCCATGTGCAAGAACCAGCCGGTTTTGTGATCAGATGGCTGCTCCTGCCACAACTCTTTGGCTCGCGCAAGGCCGTCAGTATAGCTGGTGGCTTTCAAATGGGGCATGCGGCGCAACAGGCGGACACACCATTGATCACGAAAGGCAGACTTTTGGCGACTTGTCAAAGTAGAAACCGCGCTGCTGGCGCCGGGTGGAAGCACCCAAGAGGAGACCTTGGTCGCCCAATCAATCGAGAGACGCCGCCGCCGGCTGGGAGGCGGCGATGCAGCTTGATCTTCGACAGGCAACAGTGCCAACTGGCTATCACAGCTAGGCAGCACCACAGGTAACTCTGCAGCAACTTCGAACTCCAACATCAAAGCTTCTAAAGCGGCGTCCAAGTCTGTGCCATCATCATCGACTGCCATGATGCAACAGAAGAAACATGCAGAGGCCTTGGAACCTAATGTCAAGCAACAGGCGCACAGGCTGGCTCAAAGTGGCAGAGCCCGGGTGGAGAATCTACACATCGCAGCCTTCTAGTGGAAGGACACAGAAAAGTATCCAGAATGCGAAGACAGAGCGGCCAATACTAGCACACCTTTGCCAGAACCAAAATGGGCCGGTTGGTCCATGTGATTTGCAGAGGCTGACACTTCAGATTTGTGAGTGTGACTCTTCAAAATCCATGACTGTGGTATGGAATCACAATCGACACTGTGACATGTACATGGAGAGGAGGGATGTACAACATGTTTCGCACATAGAGGGACATGATAGTTGATGAATCAACAATCCTGTCGCCGCAAACGGCCAATGAAAAATGTTACGTCCGCCAAACTGTCGCGAACCCCACGTGTTTCTTTCGCGGGGCCCATGTTGGACAACAACGCCTCGTATGAAGATTCGTGCACCACCTGCCCAATTACGCCAGAGAAGCACGGATCACTTTTTGATAGGCTTTTGAAACAAGCAGCGAGCAGCACGGAAGCCCTTCGCAGGACAGATTCTGGCTGACTAGGTTTGTTTTTGGCATCGTTTACTGAAGAAAAAACGTTCGCAAAGGTGCCCAACATAACAGGAACGGTCTTCGGAAGGAAAACGCTGTCCAAGGACTTTGACATGGCTCACCACATGTGCACAACGCAGGCGCGGATGCCCGCGGATGCCCCCGCGGATGCGGGACGACCCCTTCAAAGGACCACCGCGGATGCCAAAAACCCCCAAAAAAAGGCCGCGGATGCATTTCCGGCGTTTGAGAAATACAAAGTAATAGAACGCAACCCGCCCTGCGGATGCCCAATGGGGTGTGTGGCACATTGTATGGGGGGGAGGGGGTTTTCTGGGCTTTGCTGCTGTCCCTCGGAGACGTCTTCGCGTTAAGGGGTTCTCTTCTTCCCTCTTTTGGCTGCCATGCCTTTTTCCAAACTTTGCCTTGCCACGCGTTGTGTTCCCAGTCGGTATGGCTTCTTCCACAGTAGCTCCTGCCACGCGTTGCCTTCCCATCACGGGTCTGGCCCTGCCACGTTCTAGGTTCCTCTACGGGTGGTTTCTTCCAAACCTGCGCCTGCCACGCGTTGATGTCATCAGAAATGGGTTCTTCCACAGTAGCTCCTGCCACGCGTTGCCTTCCCATCACGGGTCTGGCCCTGCCACGTTCTAGGTTCCTCTAAGGGTGGTTTCTTCGAAACCTGCGCCTGCCACGCGTTGATGTCATCAAAAATGGTTTCTTCCACAGTAGCTCCTGCCACGCGTTGCCTTCCCATCACGGGTCCCTCCTCCCAAACGCTGGCCCTGCCACGTTATAGGTTCCCCTAAGGGTGGTTTCTTCCAAACCTGCGCCTGCCACGCGTTGATGTCATCAAAAATGGGTTCTTCCACAGTAGCTCCTGCCACGCGTTGCCTTCCCATCACGGGTCCCTCCTCCCAAACGCTGGCCCTGCCACGTTATAGGTTCCTCTAAGGGGGCTTTCTTCCAAACCTGCGCCTGCCACGCGTTGATGTCATCAAAAATGAGTTCTTCCACAGTAGTTCCTGCCACGCGTTGCCTTCCCATCACGGGTCCCTCCTCCCAAACGCTGGCCCTGCCACGTTATAGGTTCCTCTAAGGGTGCTTTCTTCCAAACCTGCGCCTGCCACGCGTTGATGTCATCAAAAATGAGTTCTTCCACAGTAGCTCCTGCCACGCGTTGCCTTCCCATCACGGGTCCCTCCTCCCAAACGCTGGCCCTGCCACGTTATAGGTTCCTCTAAGGGTGCTTTCTTCGAAGTTTGCGCCTGCCATGCTTTCAGTTCCCATCAGGGGCGTCTCCTTGCCATATGCGCCTGCCACGCTTTGGTTCCGGCACGTGTTGCCGCTTCCCACGCGTTGATTCCTCAAAGGTGCCTTTTCTTCTACAAATTGGCTCTGCCACGTTTTAGCTTCCCATAAGGTTTGTTTTTTCGAAGCTTGCGCCCGCCACGTGCTCAGTTCCCTTCAGGGCCGTCTCCTTCGTGTGCCTGCCACGCGTTGGTTCCGCACAGGGCCTTTTTCTTCAAACATTGGCCCTGCCACGTTATGAGGTCCCATAAGGGGTGGTTCGTCCGAGCCTGCGCCCGCCACGAGGTCAGTTCCCATCAGGGGTGTGTTCTTCCAAGTTTGGCCTTGCCACGTGCGCCTGCCACGCGTTGCTTCCTCCGAGTGGTGTTTCGTTCCAAACAACATTGGCCCTGCCAGGGTTTGAGGCCCCATTACGGGTTGTTTTTTCCGAGCCTGCGCCTGCCACGTGCTGACTCCAGCTGGGGTTGGTCCTCCACAACTTGGCCCTCCATATGGGGTAGTTTCTTCCAGGTTTCTGCCTGCCACGCGTTGACCTCCCATCAGGGATGCTTCCTTCAGAAACTTGCCTGCGCCTGCCACGCGGCCTGCCACGCGTTGAGTTTCCATGCGGGGGTTGCCCCTTCCCACCCACGGGTTTCACAAGTCGGCTCCGCAAACCATGCAAAGAAGGTACACATCGAAAAACAGACACAAATGAAGCGGTCAATTCAGCTAACGTGACGAATTGTCGCGCACCAATCGGCTTCCCACCGTGCAAAACCACGCCATCAACTTACAATTGGCCGCATGGGGCCTGCAAAACCAAAATGAAACAAGGTGGGCCAGAGAACTCACAAGCAACACGGCGTACAGCACGCCTTTTTAACAAAGTCTTGCGCTATGGGCAGCTGTGCTCTGCACGAAATGGACGTAAGATCTTTACTGAAACATCGTTCGCACTGATGGTATCAGGGGCCACAACTCTCCACAGCATGCTGTGCCAGCTACGCCCATTGGCCGCGTGGGGTCTTCAAAACCAAAATGAAATACATCTATATCGAGTGGTCTTTCTTGTTTTTCTGCTTTGTGGTTCTATGGTTTCTCGTTTTCATTGGGTTGATTGGTGTCATCCTTTCAAAAATACAGGTGCACCCAGCTCGGGCGGCCTCCGGTCATGGAATTTCTCCGTGTATCTGCAGCCCCAGCTGCTTGAACATGTCCTGAGCTGATCTTGCACTGTTGCGCTGTCACCGTGGCAATGGTTGGCTGCAACACTGGCAACCGGCACACAACACATCTTCTGACATTGGTGTTTCTCATACTCCAACAGGAAAAAAACCGTTTGCGCAGCTGATCTTGAACTGCCAAGCTGTCCCCTAGACCAGATTGATGGATTTCCACACAAACACGTCTAATCCAAGAAAAAATGAGGTCCAAAGAAACATCGCCCAGTGTTACAATCTGTTCACTTCTGAGCTGATTTTGAACTGCTGCGCTGTCACCCTAGAGATAACTGGCTCAAACACTGGCATGTGGTAGTAAAAAAAAACTTTGCCCCATGCGAAATGACGGAACGTGCACATGTTTTGAAAACCCTGTTTTTGACCTTCCAACATGGAAATAACAACCGTGTCGTGCAGCTGATGTTGAACTGCCGAGTTGAACCCTGACAGATGCATGAACTGCCACCCAAACGCGTGCATCCGAAAAAAAACGTCTCTCCGTGTCACCATGTGTTCACGTCTGCGTTGAGTTTGAACTGCTGCGCTGTCAACTGCAGAAGCATGGCTGAAAGGCTGGCATGCGCTGTTCCACAAACACAACGCTGCCCCATGTGGAGTCACGGGAGGGTCACATGTTTCCAAAATGCTGTATCTGACCTTCCAAGATGCAAATCGAAACCGCTTCGTGCAGCTCCTGTTTAAACTGCACAACTGTCCCTGAAAGTTTTGTGCATGGCCGCACAAACGCGCCTAGTCTCCCGCAGTGATGGTGGGTCCCAGAAAAAAAACGTCTCCCAGTGTTACAGTCCGTTCAGTCCTGAGCGGAGCGTCAACTGCTATGCCGTTACTCAAACGATGGATGACTGAAACACAGGCATATGCCATTCAAACAAACATACCATGGCGCCATGCAGATCACATGTTTATAAACTCCTGGTTCTCACCTGCCAACATGAAAATAAAAACCGTCTATGACAGTGATCTTGAACTGCAGAGTTGTCCCGGTAATGATGCATGGATGCCACAGAAACACGCCTCGAATCCTACAAACAAGTCGGTACACAGAAAGCGTTTCCCAATGTTAGAGTCTGTCCACTTCAGAGTTGATCTTGAACTGCTGCGCTGTCACCCTTGAGACGGCTTGCTCAAACACAGGCAGGTGCTGCCGGAATTGTACCACATGCAGGGGCGGAACGTGTTGCACACTCCTTAGCTGATCTTGAACTGCAGAGCTGTCACCCTACAAATGGCTGGTTTACACCTTCGCATGTGGTGTGCAAACCAAAACAAACTTGTTCCTTCCGGAGCAATGGAGTGTTTCTCACCCTACAACATGAACATGGAAAAATACCCCTTTTCATGACATGTCCCTTGAACTGCCCAGCCGGTCCGCCACAGCTAATTGACTTACTAGGAAAGCGGCAGTTAACCTTACTGGGCGGACGTTGCTTCTGACCTCAGGCACCCAGAAGTTACCCCATCCCAATGGCACACCGGGTTACCTCAGCCCATCCGCAAGTTACCCTAGGGACCAAATCCTATTGGCACACTAGCACCACACCATCGTTGGTCTGAGTCTGGCAAACAAAATATGTAAAATGTGTCCGTGCCATTGCGAACCACATATTTGATACCATCTCCTTTGGTGATAAAACCATGTTGAAAGTGGCCAACCGCCATTGGCACACACGCATTGACAGCAAAACAGCTGCCTTGAATCTTCCGCCTGTTTGAACAGTCAGAACAATCATCCTCCGCATGGAAAATTCAAACCTTGATGTTGAATTGCGGAGCTGTTTCCCCACAGGTTCACGGATTGCCACAGAAACATGTCTAGATCGGCCAAAAAGCTGGTCCCTAAAAACTCATTCCACTGTTCGAATCTGCTGCCAGAATCGCAACGGCG